AAAAAAAAAAAAAAAAAAAAAACACGTGGGGGAATGGGATATTTCGCGGGAAATCTGAGAGAGGGTGGGGTTTAACATAACAAAAATCTCCGTGATTAATTAAGGATCTTCCTCTTAGATAATGATTTGTGCGTGATTATGTTAATGTTAGGCGCCTGACTTTCAAAGTCCAAATTATCAACCAACTATACTTTTAAGGGCGCCGTTTACTTCGCGGGATGAGACTGGACAATAAAAATTGTCATCCATTGCATAGTATTTATTTTCTTGAATTAAGATGAGATTGAACACCATTTGGCGCATGTGACAGCGGGCCCCACTGCTTATCAAATAGTGGACGATTAAATTAGTCATGCCCCGTGCCCGAGATTTTTTTATTCCAATATTCCCTTTATATATTTACGGGCCCCACTGTTTCAGACAATCTCATCATACAAAGCAAACGTAAAACAAATTGTTAACGTGTAAATATTTTTAATTAATTTGTCTAATCCCATCACACAAAATAAACAATCCCTCAAAGGTTAAGTAATAGTCCCTCTATTATATGGGACTATTGAGCATAACTTTACAAAGTCCAAATCATGAAATAATTCAAAGGTTAATATGCTTCTATTATATCCAACTATTGGGAAGATATACATCATCTTTGCAAAAACAAAAGGAAAAATTGAGAGGATAAATATAATAGAAGCACTTCAAAAGTTGGCCAAGAATTTAACATGAAATTGCCCTCGTTTAATTTCCACCTGATCCATATCACCTACATCTTTTACTTGGCCGTGGGCTTAGATTGGCCTCGTGGCAAAATTTCACCACATCTGTAATTAAAGTGAAGTCATCAAATTTTTTAAGTTGGATTAACACAACTGTATATATTAATCCAACAATAAAAAAGTTCAACATAAAATTCAACATATGGGAACGGCTAAAGTCTTGTAGACGGAATGATTCCGTCACGGTTTATTATTGTAGATTATCCACACAACAAAACACACTTTTCTTATCCTGAAAAACAGTGACAGTGCCGTCTCGTAACGGCACCTTAGCATTTTCTTTCAACATATATGTGTTGGTGAAAATTTCAATTAATTGAGACAATGCTACACCTCATCAACTAATATCTTGTGTGAGGTACAATGACAAATGGGAGTAGGTAGCGGTTTTATATTTCTTTATTTTTATATATTTTTTTTTTTTTGCAAATAACGGAAATACTTTAAACAGTGTTCAATTTATCGGTCGGTGCCTTAATTTTATTTTTTATTTTTTAAAAATATTGTGCCTTCGGTCTGCTAAATTCAAAAGTAGTATTTAATTAAGTTGCAACTCAATTAAAAAAAATTAATCTATTTTGCAATTAACTTTGAATTGTGTTGATATCCGACTAGCTGGACAAGAAACCGGGAGAAGACGACCTTAAGACCCGGACTGAGATGTCGAGCTGACCAAGAAATAAAGTGGATGTAGACGTCAGACCGCACAAGTTTTGAGCTCGGTCGGCACCTGGACAGAGCAATGACGAGGCCGACCTCTGTAGGTGCTGTACATAAAAACACGAGCTTCGAGACCATAAGACGAAACAATTGCGAAAGTCCAACATGAAGATCCACGAGACCGGCCTTCGGATGGGCGCAAGACCGGGAATTAATAAAATATTGCCACTTGTCGGCTAATGATAGCCGATGGGACAAGCCACTTTAATCTACCACCATATGGTTTTTAGCCAGGCAAAAAAGTTTGTCACATTAAATGTCTTACATGTGTGGATTTAATGTCTGGCGGATAATGATTAAATAAATCTCCAATCACATTTATTATCTGTCAGAGCGGCCGACATGCCCTTCAGAGTTACTGTACGACGAGACTGGATGAACAATACCCGACCAAGAATGCTATAAATAGACAACTTTTTTCATTTATTATGGGTTGTTGAATTCCCTATCAACTAATGCTCTCTCTACAATTATTCCACTATAATAATTTTCTGTAAATACTCAAAGTGTAGCTAAAATGTCGACCTCAATATCAGAGGCCGACCTCGTAATTAATATAAAAAGCTCATTGTTTCCGTACATCTAATTTATTCATTATCTTTTCCACTACTAGATTTTTAATTGACCGTCGATCGGATCCTACCATCAACAATTGTTTCGTAGTGTGGTGTAAGAAGTGTTTAAACAATTGTACCAAAAAAAAAAAAAGGTGTTTAAACTAAAATTTATAGAATTCTCATAAAAAGTTAATTAGGGAAAACATTATCATCCCTTTATCTTGAGAAGGAATTAAGATACGTATAGTTGAATGGATATATATTATTAAAGAAAATACCTAATTTAAAGAAAAAATTCAATTAAAATTTTCAAGGCAAAATATATCATTCACGAAAGTTTTATATTGACATATATATGTTGGGAATTTTTTTTTTTTTTTCACGAAAATTGTAATACTAATATATTTTTAGAAATTAATGTTGAAATGTTTTCTCATTAAAATTTTCGTTGCATTATGATATTTTTAGTTAACGAAACTACCACAACATATTTTTTTTTTAATACTAGTATTATTTTAACTTCAATAAATAATCGCATAGGTCTAAACAAAACCATTCGTGATTATTTTAGGGAAAAATAAAAAAAAATAAAAAATCCATAAGAATGTGACTGGGTGTATAATTAATATATGTGCTAAGATTATATAAAAATCTATTGCACTTAAGTCTACAAAAAGCGCGATCATATCTTTGAATATTCGACTAACACGACTTTAGGTTTACTTAGTCAAATACTTGCCCACGCAACTTTTTTCACACATCCTTTTCAATAAGAATATGGCCCAAATTATGAGGATCTCTCGTGTAGATATACGTCAACAATTAACTCATTTTGTTATTGATCACGATTATTTAATAATTAGATTTTAAAAGAATCCCATGATTTGGTACTCGAATTTTATTTTAATATTTTTTTTTTAAAAAATAAAAATCGTCAGTGATCTTCAATAAAGAGATTTTTTTATTATTCACCATGCTTAAAAAATAAAAATAATAAAATTGCCGATCTCTCGTGTAGATATATTTAGGGATGTGTAGCCTTAATAATAACAATTAATTAATTTTATTAAAGTAAATAAATAACTTATAGAATAATATTTGCTTAATTGCAAAAAAATAAAAATAAAAATAAAAATAAAAAAAATTAATGGAACCAAATCAAGCATCCTGCCAAATATGTGGCGATATTTTTTTTGATTAAAAAATAAAGGCAAAATTGCATATAAAAGCACGACATTTTATGTTTTTGCATTTTAATCACGACCTTTTCATATTAGCACTAAAGTACATGACCTTTCATCTCTTTGCAAGTCGAAGCATGCCTTTCATCTCCGGCACTATTAAAATGACGTGTCCTGCCGGAAAACACACGTGGAATAAAAAAAAAAAAACGAAAAAAAATACTAATCCACTCTCGACCCGTTTTTTGACACGTCCCACACCAAAAAAAAAAATAAAAATCAAAATCCAAATCCACGTAAATCTCAAATCTCGAAGACAAAGTCAAAAAATTAAAAATTCCCAAATCGAAGAAAGAAGAAAACCTAAAAAAATCATCTGTAACGACAATCTCGCATCTCGAAGACAAACTCGAAAAATCGAAGGCTTCAATACGGAAGATCCAAGACAAATCGGCCTTATTCTGTGTGAAAATCACCAATGTAGTCCCAATACCGAAGAGTTGATGAAGGAAGGGGAGACAGATAATTGTTATGTGTAATATTCTATACGAAAATCGTCCAGAATTTTTTTTTTAATTCTATAATCTCTTTTAGATACATATTATTTTATTAATTATGGGTTTCGATTAAGATATTTAGGGTTTAGGGTTCTAAATTAGTATGTTTTAGGGATCAGGGATACAAAATTAGGGTTTTGGTTTCAATTTGGGTTTTTTAGGGATTTAAAATACATAATTAGGGTTTTCTTTCAATTAGGATTTTTAGGGGAATAGGGATTAAAGTTTGTTTTAGTTAGAAATTTTTGCCTTATAATGATATTCCTAAACTATATTTTCCTTTGCCAATGCAGTAAATATACAATCTTTTTGAATCATGGTGGTAAGATTGTCAACGTGGATGGGTTATGCGATTATTTTGGGGGTGACTTGTGTGCCATACATGGATTGGCACCAGACAAATTCTCTTACATTCACTTGAAAGAACAGATACAGAAACTGGGTTACAAGGAGTGGAAGAAAATCTGTTACAAGATTCCGGGAAAAGATGTTTTTGAAGAGATTTCTAGTGACAGTGATATGAGGAGTATGGTGAAGCTACTACCTCCAAAAAGGTTTATCTATGTGTATGTTGATGAAGGAGAAATAGTTGAAAAGAATCCTGAGAGTGTACATGATGCCAATCTTTGTGGTGATTCAAGTGATGTACAGGATGCCAACCTCTGTGGTCATTCAACTGATGATGATTATGAACCATCTGGAGACAGTTCCAGTGATGATGGCCTATCTGATGGTGATCTAGTGACAGATGATGAAGAATATATATCTGCCAGAAAGGATAGAGAAATATTCAGAAAAAGTCAAGATGAAGATGGTAGGAACACTACAGATT